TGTTGACAGAACACTCTCTTCCCCAGGATCTGCCTCTACTTCATTGAATCACTCGGAAATCTTTGCAAGTATTTGTGGGATTTGATACTTGGATAGAGAGGAAGAGCAGAAGGGCATTCCTGGCTTGGCTTTGCGGCTTGAGTTACTGAGTGGTCTTCCAAAGCCATGAGTAACAGGAACAATGTTGTATTCTTCTCACTTTTATAGTTTTTTTTAATAGACGAACATAGCTTTAAAATCTTTTTTTTTAATGCGAGCTGTCAACAGCATTGGTCAAATATAAGCAGTCTATGTGGTGGCTAGAAATAAAATAATCAACTTACGGAGTTATCTCATGTCATCTAATTTTCTCATACAGTGGGAAAAAAAACACACTACATTCTAAGACAACTTAAAACTTCATGCTCAGTGTCATGCAACCAATTAGCTATTTGCTAATTAATGAAAATCAACTTTTTTTTTTTTGTTTCTCTGGTAATGAATTAGGATCTTTATCTTTTTAGTACTTAAAAGGCACATAAGAGAAGTTTAAAAAAAGATATTTATTCAGATAGTTTTGGTTGAAATGGCAGAAGTGGGCATCAAGTGATTACTCAGAAAATCTTGCTTTAAAATAGAAGTAGAAATATATATATGTTTGTGTATATATGTATGAAATCTTTAATGATCTTATAACCAGACTAGAGGCCTGGTGCATGAATTCATGCACAAATGCATGCAGGGATACTTGGCCTGGCCAGTGATAGGGTTAATCAAGGCAGGCTGGTCAGGGGGAGGGACCACATGAGGTTGGCTGGCTGTGAGAGTGCACTGACCACAAGAAGATAGCTCCTGCATTGAGTATCTACCTACCTCCTGGTAGTCAGTGCACATTATTGCTACCAGCTGGTCATCTGGTTGTAATGATTGCTTAGACTTTTATTTATATATAGACTTACTTTGATATTTCTTGATTCCTTGTTGGCATTCATTTAATAATCATACATTGGGTACTTTTTCCATACAATTATGATATGAGAGCTAGGATCTCGGTCCTGAATAAAATCTTAGTGTGGTTAAAGAGAAGTGTAGCCAAAACAGGTTTGGTTCAGTGGATAGAGTGTCAGCCTGCGGACTGAAAGGTCCCGGGTTCAATTCCAGTCAAGGGCATGTACCTTGGTTGCAGGCACAACCCCAGTGGGGATGATGTTTCTAACTTTCTATCCCTCTTTCCTCCTCTCTGTAAAAAATCAATAAAAATATATTTTAAAAAAAGAGAAGTGTAAACACAGACTTACAAAACAATTGATAATACTTTATTTACAGAGAAGAAATTAAAACCATACTAATATAAGGAGAGACTGTAGATAGAGAAGATAAGGGGCTGAGGACTAAGTTATAAAACATTCAAAATTTAGAAGTTAGAAACCAGGAAAAGAGCTTCAGAAAAATGCTTTGAGTGAGATAGGAGGAAATCTGGATGAGTGTGGTATTAGAAAACAAATGAAAAGATTACTTACATTAAGATAAAGTAGTCAACTCCATTGAATGCTGCTGGAAATTATGAAAGGATAAGAACTGATAGTTGATTGTTGTCATACTGATTTGAGTTTGTTATAAAGAGACTCAGAAGATGTGGATGATGCTGTAAAATCAGTCTTTTGCAGTGATCCAAGCAGCATGATGAGTTCTGATGTACATCGGATTGATGGCCATGGAAGTGTTTGGTCTGAGATATAGTGTTATTATTAAGGGCCCTGCACCTCTTTTTTTTTTTTTTTTTCTTTTCTTTTTTTTTTTTTTTTTTTTTTTTTTTTTAATGGCTTGACGTGAAAGGATTGGAGGAATTAAGGAAGACTTATTATTTCTTGGCCTAAAGAGTGGTATCACTTATTGAGATGAGAAACACTGGCACAGAACATGTAGGTGGGGGAGGGGGTTCAAATAAAAGTCAAGGAAAGAATAAAGAATTTAGTGTGGCATGTTTAAGATAAAGATGTATATAGAGATGGCAAATAGCTTCAGAAGGGGCTCAGGGACCCTGTTCTGAGCTCTATACCAGAGGTAAGAAGTGTGAATCAGCTCTCTTAGGACTGGTTGCTTAGTATAGAGGGAGATGTATAGAGGGAGATGAATGGCTCATAGATATTGAAAATAATCTTTTCAAGAGCATGAGGGGTTCTGGAAGCTTCCTTTTTAAACTTCTATGAGTAGTGTTACAGCTGGGGAAGGGGTCAGATCTTCCTAGAGCACATGGCTCTGGGCAGATTTCTGTTATGCCCTGCTCCTGGGGAAGTCATTGTATATGGAGGGTGGAGGGGAGGAAGCTGGACACCATTTGAGATCTTATGAAGGCTTGAGCATAGGCTGGGGTACTGAGGATCTGTGGTGGGGACATAAAGATGCTGAGATCCTTGTGGACCAGAATGCTTTGGGGATGTTCTTCCATTATGCTTTTTTCTTCTGGACCAAGGAGTTCTTCAGAGGTGGTGGCCAGGCTAGAGCTTCACCCTATCATTGTCACCTTGAAATTTAATTCATAGTTGATGGAATTTCCAGACTTTGATATGAGCTTCTAATCGTCTCAGGGAAATCTGTGTTCTCATGGTTGCAAAATATTTTATTCTCCAAATATATGAACTTCTCAATTATCTACACTAAGTAGTCTCAAAATACCCAGGTTATCCACACACTAAGTGTGTCAAATGTATCTCCTATGAGAAAAACTATTGCACTAATTGGTTATCCTTTACTTGACAGCTCTTGGCATTACGATAACAGGAGGCAACATAGAGAAGAGAGGGAAAGGGGGAAATAAAAATTGACCAATATGGGCATTGATTCTTTTGTAGACATTTTTTATTAAATTTCTCCAAAATCCTATGGAATGGTTATTTCATACTCATTACAGACATGAAGAAGTAGATGATCAGAGATGTTTGAAGATTTCCCCAAGGAGATATCAGGGAAGCAGCAGAGCTGAGATTAAAATCTGGAATTATCTGACCTGAAACCACTTGTTCTTTTAACCACATAAAAACCAAGAATACTCACTATGACAACTGGATGTTTCTCTCCCAAATAATCACTCAGTCAACTAATAGTTACAGATTCTTCACCTGGGCAAAGAGCTGTGCCGGGATCTCTGGGGGCACAGAGATAAAGAAAGCACAGCCCTTACCGTCCAGTATGAACAACCTCATTGGCAGCCTGTTTGCATAGAGGTGCAAATCGTTAGCTCCAGAGGATAGGAATGGAATCATTGTCACTGTTTTAGGTATCAAAGCACCACAGTGAAAAGGAGTGTGGTTGTTTGGTTCAGTTCATGCAAGTGAAACACAGGTGCATTAAAATTAATGTAGCAAAGCCATTTTTCTCATTCTGATTCTTTTTAAAATTTCAAAATTTTGATAACATTTTAATGCATTGCTTTTTTTTTCCCTAGTTGGTTTGGCTCAGTGGATAGAGCTTTAGCCTCCAATCTGTAGGGTCCCAGGTTTTATTCAAGTCAAGGGTATGTACTGGGGTTTCAGGCTCTATCCCATCTCTCATCATTGATCATCATCATCATCATCATCATCTCTCTCTCTCTTCCCCTTCCTCTGAAATAAATAAAAATACATTGCTTTTTTGTCTTTTCAATAAGTTGCTTGTTGGTTTTGTTGTTTTTACAAAATTAAGTTATTAATGCATATATAGTTTTGCATTCTCTTATTTTATAAAATATGATAAGAAATCTCCCCAATTAATGGGAGTTCTTTGTACATAAGGATTAATGACATAGTGATCAGGATAGAAATAATTTGGAGAGAAGGGGCTGCACAGGGTCCAGGGTCCAGGGTCCAGGACGAGGATTCACGTTTGGTTCCAAATGTCCTGAGGACAGAGTGGTTAACCGGTGGGATCACCAGAGGCACGTGCCATAACATCCACCCTGCCAATCCATGGGGAGTTCGGGGCTGCCACCTGCTCTGTGTCCTTTCCAAAAGGACTGCTCTGGAGGTCATGCCAGGGAAGCCAAATGAAGGGCATTCAAGCATCGGAGACTCCGTTTCCAGAAGCAGACTTGTTCACTAAGTGGGAAGGCACCCACTGAATCAGAGGCAACCAAGAGTTTTTTGGGTTTTTTTTACAAACTGGCTCCTGACCTTTGCCTCTTACAAGAATTGTTGCTTTTCCCACAGGCCTTTCCTGTTAAAAGCCAAGTCCAACTGAGCTGGCAGGGAGCTACCCTCATGGCTGTGCAAGCCCAGTGGTTGAGAACAAATCCGCTACTGTGGAACGGACGTCTGGGGACCCACCAATAAAGCTGCACTTGTATCTAAACCTTTGGTGGTTATTAGATATTGAAAAAAGTGGTGGCCAGGTTAAAATTTGACATGATAGTCCAGAAGCAGCGATTCTAGGATTGTGGGCTGCTAGGCATCTCCTGTTCCCACTGCAGAGCAAATCTCTCGTGCTACATAGGAATTGACTTTCAGCCCAGGTTAGTGAACAAGCAAGATTATTCTGGGGTTTATTTTCCCATGCTGCATTATACCTTTATTCAAACCCCAATCCTCTATTGAATCTGATGTTTTGTGAATGTTGTTTAGCGTGATTTTGGAGTGTTTCCTCCTGGTGACATTTGCACTGTCGGAGTTGATGTTCTGATTATCATTCACATGCACAAGAGGCACGACATTGCCAAAGAGAACCGTCTTTCCTCCCAAGACCCAAAGCTTATACAAAATTAAGTAACTGAAAATTAAACGCAGTTTCTAAAGGCTGTTTTTGTCTCCTGTTATGAATTCTAGAGTACCAACCAATTCTACAAAGGTTAGAAGTATAATCTAATCTGTGTTGTTTCTGTCCTATATCATCATTGAAATTTTTATAAGCACTTATCTTCCCCAAGAGTATATTCCTAGTTAACTTTGTGATGGCTAAAATATTTCCTGTTAATATACATATTAACTCTCCACCTGTTGCCGAAATGTTTAACTAATTGAAATTTTCTATAACTGCTTTTTTTACACAAAATGAATAGTCATCACAATTGTCATTAATTTTTGCAGTAATTGATTATTACTGCAACAATAACTGTATATTTATACTACCAACGAATGATAGAACTTTAGTAGATGAAGCATATTAGGAGACTTTTACCACCAGTTGCACCTAGAATGCTCAACTATATTAGAATATTCAGATGCTTACATTAAACCTGAATGATGTGCCTTGTTGAAACATTGATTAGAAAAGGTGGTCTGTAAGTCATGTGATCAGGAATTAAGAATAAGTTTAGGGATGCAAGACATGCTGCTAAAGTGGTTATTTGACTATTTGGTCATTTCTCTAAGCTTAAAGAATAATCTAATGCAAATTCAAGTAGATGACATGCAAGGATGCAAATCAAGTAGATGACATGCAAGGATTTAATCAGAAACAGTGGTTTTGAATCCTAGATTTGCTATTTTATTTTGTACATATTTATTTAGCACCTACTATGTGCTGAGAATTCAGCCATGTATATACTATAGACATATCAGTGAATTAGAGGGAAACATTGTTCTCAACATGCCGAGTCTCAGGAGTTCAAACAATTTCCACAGTTGCTATCTCCTTCTCTTGCTGTTAGAGCCTCATAAATGTCAAATTAAGTAATTGGGGCAGCCTACCTTTCTTGTGTCATGTGCATAATATATTTACCAGTACGAATTGTCTCAAACAATTTGTCCCCTTTACAGTAGATAGTACAGCTTCAGAGCCATGGGAATGTGCTTGGAGTTCAAGGCCTAAATTTAAATCCTGGTGCCTGCGTGGCTTTGGATTTGCAACTTAACCTCTCTGTTCTTCAATTTACTATAAAATTGTGACAAACTCCTTCATTGACAATTAGATTAAATAACATAGACATAGAACTCAGCATGGAATCTAGCACATAAACACTGCACTGAGGTTAACAGTTGTTAAAATTCAGTACCATTTATCTGACATTAAAAATTAAGGAAATGAAAAGAGATTATATTATTTATACAAGGCCATACAACAAGTGTCCAGGCTGATCTGTTGCCAAAGTCTTCATTTAAAAAAAATATATATATTTCAGTTCTTTTTTTGTTAATCCTTACTTGAGGATATGTTTTTAATATATATTTTATTGATTTTTTTACAGAGAGGGACAGAGAGTTAGAAACATTGATGAGAGAGGAACATCGATCAGCTGCCTCTTGCACACCCCCTACTGGGGATGTGCCCGCAACCAAGGTACATGCCCTGACCAGAATCGAACCCAGGACCTTACAGTCCGCAAGCTGACGCTGTATCCACTGAGCCAAACCGGTTTCAGCATTACTTGAGGATATTTTCCCACTGATTTTTAGAGAGAGGGAAAAATAGAAATATCAATGTGAGAGAAACACATCAATTGGTTGCCAGGGCACAAGCCAGGGAGGAGCCAGAAACCAATTTAGGTGCCCTTGACCAAAATTGAACCTGGGACCCTTGGGTCCACAGGCCAATCTTTATCTACTGAGCCAAACCAGCTAGGGCTTTAAAGATATTTCTTTAAAGATATAACAATTGGATAGATTTGAAGACTACTTATTATGCTAATCGGTGCTTTTAAGCTTCTTCTGTGGCTGGGTGTAGCCACTTCCCCAACTTCTTTGCTCACTGACCACATCCTTGACAGCCAGCTTGAATCCACCAGGAGGTGGATGTGGCCTGTTGATGGATGGGGCCCCATTAGTCCCTGGTCTCCAGCTGCCTCTACGCTAAGAGGGGACCATTTCTCTGCATTATAACAGAGAACTTGGCTTGAAGGGGGGGCAGCGGGGAGACAAGTCCACCAAAGATTGTGACCTGGATCTCGTTGAACTGTAAGCATCTTAACCTTGCCCTCTCCTTGAGCCATGCCCGAAAGCTGACCCATTGTGTCTGGTGTGTGTTTTTTTGAAATCAGTGTGCCGAATGATGATGGTGGAGAAGTCACATGGATCTGACAGCCCTCGAGGAGGCCAGGAGAGGAGCCGGAGAGGCATCCTGCGGTCCACCAAGAGAGCCTGGGCTACCCTGGAAGAGCAGCCGCCTCCAGGCTCTGAGGAGGAAGGCCAGAGTCTCCCCACACCCTCGCTAGGTGAGGATGTCTGAAACCACCTGCTCTTCTGTGGGTGGTGAGGGATGAGGGGCTTTGGGGCAAATAATTTCAGAGTAAGAACTAAGCTTTGAAGATACTAGCATCCCTGGCATGATTCCAGAAACTTCTATGAAATGGGCACTTCTGATGTCCCCTACAGACACTCAAAGACCTTGATGGAAACAGTCCAACTAAAGAATGAACTCGGCTTCCTTCCCACTCCAATGTACCCACAATAAACCCCCCAGGACGCCAGAGCTGTGTGGAGTCTGTGTCAGAGTTATGAGGTTTTATTTTAACAAAAGGCTTTTATTTGCCGGCCTTTCCATGAGACATCAATAATCATTTAACAGCTTAAAGGGTAATAATGAAGAAAACACTTCTGCCTCCACTATAATGTAACTGATGGTTTTTCTTGTTTAAATATTCTTATTGATTTCAGAGAAGAAGGGAGAGGGACAGAAAGATAGAAACATCAATGATGAAGAATCATTGATTGGCTGCCTCCTGCGCGCGCGCGCGCACACACACACACACACACACACACACACACACACACACACCTCGCACCTGGGGATCGAGCCAGCATGTGCCCTGACGGAATCCAACCATCGACTTTATAGGTTGATGCTCAACCACTGAGCCACGCCGGACAGGCTGTTTGTTTGTTTTTGTCCACTACCCAGTTCATTCCATCCCTCACAGTAACTCAACTGAATAAACAGCTCCCTGTCCCACTGGTCTTTTTGGTTCACCTTGTGAGGGGGTAATCCAGCCACCTCACTGATGGTTTCAAGCCCAAGAAAGTCAGCTCAGAGTAGCCTGTAGCCCGCAATAGGAAACGCTGCCTTTGCATCCTCTCCTTTCTGCCTGCTGACCCTTTGTTGTGGGGGATAAAGATCCACCTTAAATTAAGGCTGGTGCCCTTTTAAGGCAGGATGCCTTTGGCAATCCTGGGAGTGTAGTGCGATTTGTCCCTGGAATGAATGCAAATTTGGTTTCTAACCTGGCAGAGAACGCCTTGCAAATAAACATCCCTGGCTAGCTGCCTTAGGTAAATATCCTGATTCAGTCCGAGGGGGTCCCGGGTGATTTCCATCCAACAAGAGAAAGACAGAAGTCTCCTGTGTTTGTTCACCTTTTGCATTCATGCCAGGTAATTACAACATGATTCCAACATCTCTTGCTCATGGTGGTTTCTTTTCCTGCCCTTTTATGTTTTGGGTTTTTTTTTTGTTTTGTTTTGTTTTTTTAAGTTACAGTCTTTTGGCAAGTTCATACTTCATTTCCAGGAAAGGATGATTACAGAAAACATGAAAATGCTTATAGAAACATGGACCTAAATATGTAGGAAATGAAGCTACTGGGTGGTGGCTGAATGATGAAATCGAGTCTTTTTAACTGGCTGGGCTCTGACTGTTTCTTTCACATTTCTTTCTCATTTGTAGATGGTTCCAAACAAGAAAGTATTCAGCGGTGGCTGGACTCCGGGTTCTTGTAAGTGTCTGTTTGTGACCTTGTATATTTCTCTTGCAAAGATCCATGAAAACAATGAGTAACCCTGCGGGAGGTGAGGGGTGACCTATAGGGATTTTCATTTTATCTGTGTGCTTGATAGGTTATTCTATTATTGCACATGTTATGTGTCAGTTTAAAGGTACAAAACAGGATACTCTTTCAGCCCCTGGATTCTCATAGGTTTCCGAAAGTCCTCTTGTAATAAAGCCTAGCTCTGCATTTTGCTCTCGTCTATTTAATCACAGAGCAATTTGTCTAACTTGTTGACACACACTGTTTGATTTACAATACTTTTGTTTCTTACAGTGTCTCTGTAGATGAAAACTTTCAGCAAGTCACCGACCACACAGGTAACAGGAGACCCGAGCAGCAGTCATTGTGAATCCCGGTAGGATCTGTATTGACATGTTTGTGCAGTGCAAATAACTCTTCTTAAAATGACAATCGCCAGAGGTTCCTAAAATTAGAACCCATCTCAACAACCATCCTGTGTAGTTGCTTTGTTTGATATTCGGGACTGAGGCTCAGGAAGGCAGGTGAGGGCTGGAAACCAGGACTCTTGCCATAACATTAGCTCAAGTTCTAGCCAAAAATTCACCGGGTTCTATGAAGACGTTTTGCAAGAATGTAATTATGGAAATGAAATTGTTTTCTTTCTCCTCACAGTATATTGTCATTTTCTTTTCAAATCTAGTGTTTTTCTCTTCTTTGGTCTCAAAACAATGCATTTGTTCTCAAAAAGAACAAATGACTGGAGTCTCTAGCAAATAATACAGGCATGTATTTCTGAGACAGAACGTGGTGCATGCTTGTTATGCAGAAATTTGATATGAGCATTATAAAAAGAAAAAAATTTAATTACAAGTCTCACAGTTTCCATCTTCATTAAATGAAATACTGTATTTCACAGAATCGAAGACTCCTTGATTGTAAAATGCACTCACACTTTAAGTTCCACTCAATGGAAAAGTAAAACAATAAGTACTGGCAATTATAAATGAAATGCAATACTGACTGTATACACATTAGAAATGCCATAAATAATGTATGTGAAAATAGGAGTTTAATGATTAGATGAAACAATTTTTAGTCAAATTGTTCCTTACTTGGCTGGTTTTAATTAGTTCACTTTTTTCACTGCCTCTTAACTTAAGATGATGATTGGTTACAAAGTAGTTTAAATTTGGGTGTGTTTTTCTTACTTGAAAAACTAGGTAAATTCATTGAAATTTTCTTCTTTGCCAAGCTTATTATTATTATTATTATTATTATTACTGATTTTTTTTAAAGAGAGAGGGAAAGGGATTGAAGGAGAGAGCACAATATCAATTTGTTGTTCCACTTATTTCTGCATTCATTGGTTGCTTCTTGTATGTTACCTGACCGGGGTCCAACTCACAACCTTGGCTTATTGGGACGATGCTTTAACCAACTGAGCAACCCAGCCAGGGAGACTGGGTTTTTGTTTGTTTATTTGTTTTAATATAAAAGTTCCATGATGCAAAAATCTCTGGAGATGTTTGCCAATAAATTGAAATTAAGTACCTCTGTTCATCATAGATCCGACTTAAGGAAAGGCAAGAACGTAAGAAATACAGCCAGCATGTCACATCCCCTGACATTTCATCTTCCCAGGTCATGGCGGGCTGCCTGGCACGGTTCTGGGATTGTCAATCACTGTATTAAACACTTCACTTACTCAAAATTAAACACACGTCATGGCCCTTGCTCCTTTGAATCAAGCAGTGACCTGAAGGAGCTCAGACATGAGGGGAGACCTGGAGGAGAGGAGGGATAGTGGAAGGGCTGTGAGAACAGAAATGCAGTTTCAATTTGCCAGGTCCTTCATCTTCAGCGAGGTTTCTAATAATAATGGACTCCCTCCCTGCAGGTTTAATTGAGCCTTCACATTTACAAGGCCCTTTCTCATCTATCACATTTTCAACTCAGTGACCTGTGCGGTCGCCCGGCTGGTGTTCATTTATGATTTACAGGTGAAGGATCTGGGGCAAAGGGTGGCCAAGTATATCGATTTCTGGTTCCAGCTGGTTAGTGGCAGGTGGGGACGCTTGAGGCCTGGCACTCTGTTAGCTGCTCTGTGTGCAGGCACTGGCCGTGGCAAGATGGACACACGCTGAATTCAGGGAAGCCAGGAGCTTCCCTGGGCAGTGTGGAAGCGGAACAGTCCCAGAAATGGGGGGCCTGAAGGTCGTGCCCAGTGTGGCGGTGAGAAACCTGTGGTGAAAAGAAAAAGGAGCTGAAGAGGAGACAGAGAAGTAGCCACTGTGGAGGGAGAAGCCTGTGAAAACTCCCACAACCCTCGTAGGATGCCGAGAGGGCACTGGTTCCTAGGGCAGCCACAACGATGACCACAAACTTGGTGGCTTAAAGCAAAGAGCTGTGCCAGGTGGTGGGAACAAAGATGTAGAATCTGTGGTTCCTGCTCTCAAGAATGTCACTCTTACTTTCCAGGACCATCATAATCTGAATGTAACCGATACCAATGTTCTAAAAGACCTTCTAATCCTACTTGCTCTCATTCCATCGCTAGCTCTTTTGTCATCTAATTCCTCTTGTATTCACATCTTTCCTGTTCTGTTCACCTGTTACCCTTCTTTTGCGTCCTAACTCAAGTTCCATGTTCTCGACAAGACCCTTCCTGACATCTGCACTAAGAGACTCGGTCAGTTTTCTAAACACCACCCACATCCACTATGGGTTCTATTCATATGGAACATGGTCTGTGCTGCCTCAAATTATTAAGGCTATGATCAGCCTCACTAACAAAATTGTAGGTGCCCCTGAGGCAGAAATCCCCTGTAACATGCCTGACTTCTCCAGAGCTAATCAACCAAAGGATCTTAATACAACTGGCCCATGATGAAGATGATGTAGTCAGATTGGGAAATCTTCAAAGGAGAGGTGAGACGTAAGCTAGTCAATCAAAGAGAGATGCAGTTTTGGGAAGAAAAAAAAAAAAGAGGCAAAGCAAGACAGTGTCAGTTGGTGGAAGCAAAGGGAGCTTTGGAAAAGTCATAGAATGAGAAGAAAGCTAAGTAGGTATAGGAATGCACACAGAAGGTGGTCAGACTAGGAACTGTTTTCAGGCTGGGTAGCAAAGGCAGAAATGCTCCTGTTAAATAGGGTATTATCAGGGTACAAATGCCTTAGTATCCAGAAAGAGGGGGTCCGACTTGATGTCTTAGGAGAGGGGTGGCAAAGAAGTGTCCTCAGGTTCCAATCAAAGGACAGGCTGTGTTCAGTTGATTTTGAAGCCCTACCTTTGTTCATCTGAATAGAGGGGCCTGAGTCACAAGTGCCAGATGCCATAGGTGCAGCAGCGGGGAATTGCAGCAGGCCTAGCACACATTGGCCATCTCTATTGCAGTGGTTATGAATGGTTTCTGAGAAGGGCAGCGGCAGATTCCAGGGTGTATCCTGGCAATGGGAGGAAGATACACACCTCGGGATGAAACTACTGTGACCTCAACTTGGGGTGGGTGTCAGCAATGGAGTAGAGAGGATGGGTCAACATCACCAGCAAAATAAACAGAGATGTGGGTGAAGAAGAGCCCAGTCATTACAATCGGCTTGAAGGTTTTGAGCATGAGTGTCAGGGAGAATGAAGAGTCTCCTTTTTTTTTTTGGTAACGATATAGATTAATAATTGATTAAATGAGACAAACCCTGCTGACTGCCTCTTCTAAGTGTCTTGGTCATGCAGGAGTTAAGTGTGCAGAAAGCTGCAGATTGCTATTATTTTAGAGCCCTGAGAAAATGTAATTTGATTAGTCTATTGGACGATATTCCAAAGAACCAAATGTCTTCCATGAATCAGTCAGAAATGCTTAGGAAAACCAAAATAAAAAATGCTTTCTAAGCCAATGAAGGTGCTAATTAGTGCCTTCTGCATATCTCACTCCATCTTCCCCAACCATATACTCTGCAGGGTTAAGCTCGGTGTCTGCTGCTTCAGATGGCAAGAGTCCACCTCGCAGTGGGCGGGGTGGCTGGAGACTCAAGAAGGAATAAGAATTGGATCTTAACCCATGCAGTGGGACACACTGAGTAGGGCAGAACCTGTGTTCTCTTGCTTTAATTCTTTTCCAAATCAACCCTTAAAAAACATGGGAATAGTAGGACCTTAATTTTTTTTCCAGTCTTTATTCTCCAATGCATTTAGAAAGTCAAATCTGGCTTTATAAAACCAATAAGGGTATCTCAGTAGGGGAAAATATTAGAAAAAAAATATCAAAACCCAGCAACTAGAGAAACGAGTGAGGAATGAAGGAGGCCCTCACTAGCAGGACTTTGTGGTCAATACAGGCATTGCCATAGGGTCCCATCTTCTCCCTGGGCATGCCTGGTACCTGCAGAAGCTTGAGAAAGTCCAGGGCAACCAGAGCGGTTGGTTTGCTCCACCTGGCATTCCTTGGGTGTCAGATTCTTGCTGTGACCATAGAAGCAGATTCAAATGCTTCCAGAGCTGAGGAGGTAACCACTGTTGGACCAAACAGGCAGGACTGAGAGCAGAGCATCACAGAGCACATGGCTGCCAACAGACGGCTGCCCTAAAGGGCCTGGGCCACAGTTTCTTGATTCCTGAGTTTTCAGGAAATTCTAGGAATCCCACGCCAGTGAGACCTGGGCTGCCAGCCTATGCCTCTCGGTTCAGGTTCAGGTTCAGGTTCATTATTGAAAACAGGCAACCTGGCCCTGAGGAGCCCACCCTCAAGCTCCAGATAATGTATCTCACACATTGGCAAAGTAGAGAAAAACAAAAATAAAACAACCACCACCATAACCAAACACCCCAACAGACAAAGTATAATAACTCCACACTTCTCTCTCCAAGGCTCTCATCTACCAGGCGGAAGTGTTGGAAAGATCGGTCACTGCTTCCCAGGACCTGAGGAACCCGGAAATAGAGTGATCAACCAAATTCATTTTTAACAATTTTATTATAATTTTTAAAATGGGCTTAGTTTGTGAATTTCTTTTAAAAGATAATATTGATTTCCTCTGGCTTGGTTTTCTCCAAAATCTAAGCTTGGCAGCAGATGAGGCTGCTGTGTGCGAATTAGATGGAGAGAGACATTTGTATCATTTCAAATCAGGTCAAGAAAACAGTGGATAAGGAATCTAACAAGAGATATCAAAGCTGTATCTGTGCGTCAGTGAAGATGGGGTTCAAATGAGAGGTTTAGACACCCCAGTTGCCCCTCTGGGTAGTGATGGTTGGGCCTATGGGGAGCTATTAGGTGGAAGGAGAGAAGGCCCTTTCTCCAACAGGTATTAAAATTGTGTAAGGCTTTCTATATGTATTGTCAGATCAGAGAACTAACCCCCTTGTGACCTAGCTGGCTCCACTTTGCACATTTCTTGGAAAACATGTTGCCTTTGGGGGCTCCTTTTCCTCTTCAGGGCTTCCCTTGGTTTCCTGGCAACCAGCTTGCTTCTGAAGATAGATGGCAGGGCTGTGGGGTGTGGTCCACGGAGTGTGGCTTGAGAAGCTCAGGGAGATGCCCTGGGTGCAGGCTGACCATTTCTCTGGAGGCTGGGTTTCCTGCGGGGCCAGGATGTGGAAAATGGCAGCAAGGCTGAGCGAACTCTTCTCATCAGTATCTGAAAATGGTCATTTCCTCTCTCATGGCCTGAGCCATTCACTCTGTCCACAGTGCCAGGCTGGCCTGGATCACACATCCATTCACACGTCCGAGGGAATCCAGAGCAATGGCAGGCAAATGGAAAAGGCCAAGGCAGGGACCAGAGAAGTATCCTAGCAGGACCAGGGAATGGCTTTAGGGAGAAGTCGCGCTCAGAAATTTGGAGCTTGCCTTCGGGACTTCTCTGCACAGCAGTAGGTGGAGGTGGTAGTGGCAGGAATGGAGTCAGGAAGGAATAGGGGGGGAAATGCTTAAAATAGACAAATATTTATTTTATCTTCCATTTTGGGCGACGTCTCTAATTTATTATGGCATCAAGTCATTACAATATAACTGTCAAAAATTAGGCTGCGCTTACATCTATAACGTGGTTAATAAAGTGGCAAATAGGCTTTCTCTCGTGTGACAACTTCAATCAGTTGGTAATGGCTTTATGGTCTGAGAAGCTCTGAGAGTGAGTTGAGTTCAGGGAGTGAGCGCTGCAGTGGATTAGCGGTGCCTGCCGAGGTGAGAGACTTGGCACTGAACAAATGATGTTTTTCGAACTCTGGGTCTTGAAGGTGCCTCACGGGACTCAGAAAAAGTGGATGGACAACACCGTCAGGACAGCTCCCTTTGACTCCTATAAACTATTGGAATCTTGCAGAAGAATCTCTCCCCTAAAAACCAGTTTCAAAACCACTGATGTAATGGGGGGGGGGGTGGGAAGATTGGAGTTTTGATTCTAAGTTCATTCTTAACTTAGTACATAGGTTTGAATCAGCTATTTTGACTCATATCTGTCACCAGATGTCACATAGGACATCTGAAAAATGTCATAGTTGTGTCATAATAATGATCACTTGCCTCAATATGCCATCCTTGGCAGTGGCTCCCCTGAATGTTTTATGAGCAGTTACATATTCTCTTTAACTTTAGCAACTTCTAAAGTTCAGATATGTACCCTGAAATTACTGTACTTCTCAAAACCCACTTGTGAAATTTATTGCAAACACAGGATGTCAAATAAGCTTCATCTCATTTGATCAGTTGCTTTCCTGGTGAATTTAAAAGCCTACCTAGGCTCTGAGAAAGTGATATGGTTGACTGGTGATGTCTGCTATGGGAGTGGGCACTGGAGTGGGTAGCACAGAGGCCATATGCATCCCTACTCTATTCTTAAACATTTACTGTAGATTTATATTCTGCACCCCACATGATTCTTGTGCTGACAGAGTTCCATTTGCTTCGTAGAGCAGACATTTATTTGACATCTTCTCTCACCTCCTCTTTAAGTGGTAGTTCTGGATTCCAAAATGCCATCTGATCTAACTTGATCAGCCTTCCTCTGAGTTCTGCACTTGCTCCAGATGCTCTTCTTTCACAGCAACCCCTCTTTTCAAACAATCAAATTCCCCTATTTTTTTTTAATAAGCAGGTGATCCCTATCCCCCCCCCCCCCGCCCTGCCTCTTTTTATTTTTTATACTAGGGGCCCATTGCAGGAAGATTCCTGGAAGAACAGGGCTTCAGGCAGGTTTTCCTCCCACCACTGCCACCTCTCCCACCTCCTTCCCCCAAGCTTTCCCTGCCACTTCTACCCCCCATCCCCACCCTACACTTTTCCTCTGGCCACCACCTCCCACCCTATTTCCCTCCCCCCTCCCCCCTCCCCCGTGCTTTCCCTCCAAGCTGCTTTCTGCTTTCTCTTCCTTTTATGCTGTCTTCAGTCTTCACTCCTCCCTCCCTCAGCATACGCAAATTAACCGCCATCTTAATTGGGTTAATTTACATACTCACTTTGATTGGCTGTGGGTGTAGTGAGGATACAGTCAATTAGAATTTTCTCTTTTATTAGTGTAGATATTTTTCTTAAAAAAATTTTTTTTTATTGATTCCAAGAGGAAGAGAGAGATAGAAACATCAATTGGTTGCCTCCTGTATGCCCCCTACTGGAGACCAAGCCCAAAACCTGGGCATGTGCCCCAACTGGAAAACAAACTTTAATCTCCTGGTTCCTAGATTGACATTCAACCACTGAGCCACACTGGCTTGGTCATTTCTCCTTATTCTTAAAAACTTGAGACAAGCACTGCTTCTTTCCAGGTAGTCACTGCTGACTACATCACAAGCCACTGACTTTGCCTTCACTGAACAAGTACACACATCCTCAAGTGCCTGTCACACCATTTAGCCATTAATTACATTCTGTCTTGTTCACTACAGAGATGCCTTGTACCTCATGCCTATACAATCTCTGACATGGCAATCAGTCACACGTCGGTTCCTTTGAGGATGAGAAAATCTTCCATGAGGATGAAAGGAAATTAAATTTCTCCCCCGTTTTTTCTTTGCAGTTTTTTCGCATGAACAAGGAATGGTCCAAATGACTGTAAAAGACTACCTGAGGTAGGTGGCAGAATCAGTCCAGTATTTTACAGCCACGTCTTTCATAAGGGACGTACAGTGAGGCGAGTCCTCAATAATGACATGGATCTTGGGATTCTGTCACTGATTGAGCCACAGTGCTGCAAAGTTTTTGGGAGCCTTGAGAGAAATAGGGGTTCTTAAAATGTCATGAAGGAGTGAGTAAATTAAATCAACAAATTCTGACTTGGGGGGGAGGACTTAATTAAAACACACAGATATGACATTCAACTATAATTCAGCTGTTCACTAGGACCTGCTCATAAAACAGTTACATCCATATTTCATATTGCCACCATTATTGACCATCATGCTATAATTTAATTATTATAATTTCTAATGTTAGGTGGAAAGCAGTGAGAGTCTCTTAATTTGAAGATAGACTAGGTCTTTATATATATATATATATATATATATATATATATATATATATATATATATTATTGATTTTTTACAGAGAGGAAAGGAGAGAGATAGAGAGCCAGAAACGTCGATGAGAGAGAAACATCGACCAGCCACCTCCTGCACATCCCCCACCAGGATGTGCCCGCAGCCAATGTACATGCCCCTGACCGGAATCGAACCCGGGACCTTTCAGTCCACAGACCGACGCTCTACCACTGAGTCAAACCGGCTTCAGCTGAAGATAGACTAGGTCTTAAAGGGACCCCAAGCAGCAGCATCCATATCACCTGAGAACTTACTAGGACAAATTTTTGATCCCCAACCCAGACACTTTGAATAGGAAAACCTAGGGGTAGAGTTCAGAAATAGGTGTTTTTATAAGGTCTTCGTATAGTACCTGGGCACACTCTGGTTTAAGGACCACTGAACTAGACTATGAGCTTTTATAGGCCGGGAGAAGCAGTTGAACAAAGACATGGCCCATCTATTCTTACTAATAATGGACAGGATTAAGGCAAATTCAGCCGTGCACACAGGAGACCTTGGTCTCCTTGGGAAAACTGTTATTTACATTGTATTCTTTGATAAATTTCAATTTTGTGCCAACTGGCTGTTATATTTGATGAGACTAGATGCAGCTATCTTTTAGATGAGGCATCTACAAGTCAAATACATTATGACAGGGTTCCGTTCTGTTTGGAAATGCTTTCTTTTTTAAAATATGTTTTCATTGATTTTAGCAAAGAGGAAGGGAGAGGGAAAGAGAAACATTGATGAGAGAGAAGCATCAACATTGATCAGCTGCCTCCTGCAAAGCCCCTGCTGGGGATTGAGCCCACAATTCAAGCATGTTCCTTGATCAGGAATCAAACCAGTGACCTGCTGGTGCACACACAACCATTGAGCCACACCAGCCAGGCTGGAAATGCTTTCAAATGACCTGCAGTGCAGGTCTCTTTGGATAGAGGGATGCTGGTTTTTGAGGCAGTAAAGGGGAGTGTTACTGTTGCGTATGGTTAACCCTGAGCCTAGAGACAGCTCTCAGAGAACACTAACCATGCCCTAGAAAGTCCTTCATGATAAGAATGAATGTTGAGTCGCTTCAGTGGCTGCTGCCTCAACCTCTTTCATAACAAAATTTTAACTTCCTCCCAAAAGTCAGAGCCTAGCAAGGATCATTCCTGAAAGGTTTCCTAATGATTTGCCATCTGTCAAAAGTGAGACTTTCTGTCACCTTCATAATGAGCTCTAGAGGGCACCTGACACTTAAATCCTCACACCTTCTGTAGGCAGCACTCCCCTCTGCTGCTGTGCTCGCTCTTCAAAGGCGTGGCCCCTGTGGGATATTAAGAATGACCAGGAAATGCAAATGTAAGCTCTGGAAGGGAAAGGCTCCCAATGATCTCTAGGGTGGAGGGGGCGGGAGACTATCTAAATGACCCATCTCATTGTTGCTACCCTCTCGCCTTAGATCTCTGCACCAATGTTCAGAAACTCCTACCCTGTCCAGAGGCACCAGCTTCAACTCATGCCATTCTGCTGAGAGTATACCACAAAGGTATGTGGTTTCCAGGCACTTCGCATCCAGGAAAATCATCCCATGCAACAGTGGATTTCATGAAGCTGTAAAGCATGTATGATAAGTAGGCTCTAGTGAAATTCATGAATGGATAGAAGAGAGAATGAGTGAGGATTTCTAAACCCCAACTTGCAAGAGGAGTATAAAAGGGTCAGTGAAATAGGCTACATATCTGTCAATGAGGAAATGGTCATATAAGTTCTCAGCTCCCATTTTGTGGCATTCTGTACAGTGACAAAAGGAATAGGTATTTGTTTATATATACTAACTTGTGATCTTCAATTCATATTTTAGGAGCAAAAAGGCATGATGCCAAAAAATACATAGAGTATGTTACTATCTATAAAACAAATGTGAAAGCTGTAAAGCATGTATGATCCGGGATAAAGACATTCATATTTTTTACTGCAGCATTCCTGAATGGCTGGAATTTGGGGAAAAGGATCCAGTGGAGATTCTCTTGGATCTGGGGTTTGGTGCTGACGAGCCAGACATCTGCACACAAATTCCAGCCAGATTCCTGGGTTGTGCCTCAGCAGCCATAGGGATCAATATCCGTGTTTTTCTTGAAGCTCAAAAGCAGCGAATGGACACTGAGAACCCTAACTTGTATGGTAAGTGAGAACTGACTGCAATTATTACAGAGCACGGGCTCGCTGCCCAGTGCACTTAGAAGCCAACACTATGGCACTGGCTTTTAAGAAAAAAATCTTTATTGTAAGATCAACCAGCAAGAAGATAAGAGGCAGAGCTCAAATCTGTATTCCGACCCAAGGTTCAAAGAGAGATTGACGGGGTTCAGGGAAACCTGCTGGCCTGCGAAATCACTGGCAGGGGACAAGTTTCAACGGAGGGCCTTGGAGCTTGGCCATTCATGGTAAGAATGGCTTCAGCACCCAACCTCCCTGGACGGCAGACCCTTCACTTCTGAAAGGATTCTGGGGTTCAGGTTCCAGTTTTGTCTCAGTGCTTTGGTTCTGTGGGGTGGAGACACTTTGATTCCAAGTGTTATTGGAGGTCAAAATTCCTCTCCTCTGCACATGCTTTGGCCAAATGCTGGGTGTTTTTTTTTTCAGTTGTCCCTGAAAAACAGCCCAGTATATCGTTAGAATAAGATCAGTTTGAGCTGGTTCTGCATTTACATAGTGAGCAGAGAGGTTAGCCACACAGTATTAGGAGAGATGGCCTGGGAGACATGTACAGCAGCAATCCACCCCTCCTATCATAGCTGAAAAAGAACAGCTTATAGCTCGATCCCTCTACATGTCCACTACAGATTGGTGCATATGTTGAGAGAAGGAAATACATTCCATGTTGTCCTTATTCATGAACTTGGCCCATCTGCAAAGCCATTAATTGTAATGATAGAGAAAAGGTGGTCCTGGAATTTGTATCCAGGCCTTTTGACTCCATGCGCCATGATTTTCTACACTCTCAGGTGGTAATAGATGGAGAGGCTGGAGGTAAGGATGAGGATATCTACTGCCAAAAGCAGTGGGAGAAACTCAATATCATCTTGTATGAAAGAGCTGAGTTTACTTTTTGACAATTTAGTTTAATTCACAAGATTGAACTCAAGATACATTTTTGCCTGTCAGTGTTATGGATTAACACACCTATTAATGATTGGGTATATATAAATCTATCTAGCATGCATGTACAACTAAATACAAAAGGTATTCACTTCCCCATACCTTTATATAGAGGAGTCACCTTCATAATAATTAGTAGCATGTATAGAGGGGAAAAAATGAGTTTCTGGAGCTTTAAGTCATTCTCATTTTGAAAAAAATCACGTGTTAACCAACCTCTCCAGTTTTGACAACCTCTATGCAGTTTCATTACAAATACCCAGCCTAAAAAGTGTGCTTTCTGTATCGTTCAGGCCGTTTCCGACAGCTGGAAATCCTGGGTCAGGTGGCCAATGCCTTCTCATCTTTGCTGAATGATGTGAGCACCTGGCAGAGCAACACTGAAGAGAAAGATGGAGAGGAAAGTGTGCAAAGAACTTCAGTGAGTGGAGCCAAAGAACATCGAGGAAGAGAGGGGGGACTTTTCAGGAGAGCCTCAAAGCAGACCATCAGGAGAGACGGTAGTTCAGAAGTGTCAGGGTCTCTGAAGAAGAGGGAACATTTTTCCAGCACCCATGCAAGACCAGGAGGGTGTGGAATAGAGTCACCAGCCATGACAGACAACCTCGACCAAAGTCATTTGTCTCCTTCGGCTGAGCATTGGTCTCTCCAAGCCTGTGATGACTTGATACCTTGTCGTCCTCCCAGAGCTCTCCTGAAAAGGTGCTGGCCTTACTTACCCAGGCTAGCCAAGCAGACTCCTCCTTCCTGTGGGTCTGAGTGGTCAGTCAAGGACAGAACTCAGAAAGAAAACGTGATTCAGACTAACAAGCTCAAGAGCTTCTCTGGGGCGATGAAAGCACCAGACTCCTTCGAACTGGAAGAGGTCAGTGTTGTCTGTACTTTGTGCTTACCTTCTAAGGGAGATAACCCTCATGAAGGTTATCTCCTTTTGCCTTTCAGCCCTCATTTAACCCCTTCATCTGTCAACCCCTCAGCGTCAGGTGTTAGGTTCCAAACCCCTGATTAGACTGGGACATTTAAGGTCATTCTGGTTGCTTCAGTCAGAACTAAATGATATGCAAACAGCCTTTGCTTTCTTCCATCCTTTTCCAGTCCTTGCTCTCAGTTGAATCCACAGGTTATTTTTGTCTTTGTCATTGCTCACTGTTTTATTATGTATCTCAGGATGGTTCTCTCTACTCTTTCCACATTTCACCTTCTTCGAGGTCCGTTCAACTACTTCCCACTCAGTGAAATTCCTCCTCTGTATTCTCATAGCCTCGGCAGGGAGAGCTTGTTGAGGTAGAAATTGTGTGTGTGTGTGTGTGTGTGTGTGTGTGTGTGTGTGTGTGTGTGTAGAACGTCTCCCCCCTACACACACACCTCCAGCTCCTGGAAGACCAGGTTTTGGCTTCAAGGGGATGTGTCTTGGAAATATTCCCCCCTAAATGACTAAAGCAGGGCCTTAGATGAAGAAACAAGATGGGTTTGTTTTTTCTTTTTATAGGAGCAGTATTTTGTTAGTTCACTTTGGGATTTATTGACAGTCATGTAGCTTGACTCCCATTTCACACATCTTCTCTGCTTTTTCCTTCATACATTCATACATTTCACCCTATTTAGATGGCATGGCCACCTGCACTTCTCAGTCTTTTAAAAAAATATGTACATACACATTTTCATTAGTTTCTCTATTCTTTAACATAATTATAAAGAAAGCACAGAAGAGCGTGCCTTTCATGTCAAATTATCCAGTAGTGGGAGAGGATATTTACTTGTAAATCCCAACGTTGGCCACCCCTCCTTTGAGCTGTCTGCTGCAAGACACTCTGATAGGCTCTGGGGAACAGACTCTGCCCTAAAGGGAACCTCAGTGCAGGGATGGGCACAGAAACCAAGACAGTGACAGGTTACTGATACACTTCCCTGTCACTACAGAGACAGGTTGGGGTATCTGGGGAAACAAGATAATGAGACTGACATATTCCGGTGTCTCAGGTCCAGAGCTTTGAAGAGGAGATTGGTGATCACCCTGACCTGACTTCAGGAACTAAAGGTAAGAATTCATCAGGGTGTGCAATTTCATCAGTGGTCTTTTCAGAGAATGTAAGTGATTGCTACTCAACTTTCTTAAAATGGAGAACTTACTCATTGCCAGGACATGCCACATCTGTTACGACTACTATCTACTACCACTGCATTTTGTACCTGCTACTGTTATGTAAACTCTTGCTAGCAACGCAAATATACATGTAAATTTCAAAATATTTACTTCAGAAATGTTCAGTATCAGTGGGGCTTGTCTACCATTAACTCTGTGTGAGGCAACCAGGATAGTAGAATGCATTTCACATAGGACTGGAACTAACTGAGAAAATATGTTCATACTTCTGCCAACTGCTTAATGTCGAACATGTCATATCGTGTCACTGGGCCTCAATTTTTAAATGTTATAAAGAGATAAGAACCAAAACCGGTTTGCCTCAGTGGATAGAGTGTCAGCCTGTGGACTGAGGGGTCCTGGGTTCGATTCCAGTCAAGGGCATGTACCTTGGTTGCAGACACATCCCTGGTGGGGGGTGTGCAGGAGGCAGCTGATAGATGATTCTCTCTCGTCGGTGTTTCTCTCTATCCCTCTCTCTTCCTCTTTGTAAAAAAGTCAATAAAATATATTTTAAAAAATAAATGAAATAAAAAATATATTTTTTAAAAAAGAGAGATAAGAACAGGTAATTTTTAAGTTATCTGCCAGAACTTATATCCTAAATTAAGTGATTATATGACCTTTATGTGAAACTCTCAGGTGAGACAAGTTATCCATATATAACTTTGGGGCCATCTCTTAGGTGGTCTTATAATATCCTGAACAGCATGGGAGGCAGCCTTTCTCTACTTCCGGTTCCTATGCCCTTGTTCAGCAATCATTGTGACTCAGCATTTCCATAATCTTACAACAGGGCGAGAAGTAGACAGGAATTAGTGAAGCAAAATGAAGCAGATGAAGCTAGTGTAGATCCTGGAAGAAAATATGCTAATTTTAATTTAATTTAGTGTGGTGTCAAACACTTCTTTTTCATTACAAAGTGTATGTATGAGCCTCATTTTGCTAAATGCTGTTTAGAAATTATGCATTAGTAATTATAGGGTCCTGCTGATTACATAAATTGTTATCCTGCTCTTTGATGTAATTACCACATAACCTGCACTGAGGTTTTTAAGATAAAAATAAGTCTCTGTTTTCTATCTAACTGAATGTTTCTCAACGAAGCTGGAGGCTCTCTTGCCAATAGGAGCTGCCTTCCTTGACATTCAATTAAGAGGTCTGCTGGTACCATCTAAGTCACCCCAATCATTACAAAAAAAATTATTTGAAAAGTTAGGCAAAAGCACTAATCTACATTTAATCTCAAATTCAGAGAGCAAAGTAGTAAGGGTGAAGGTTGGCCTAGTGGAGGAATTCTGAATAACAATTAAAGCAAATGTAATTTAATTACTTTCACAAACAGTATTGTTAACCCAAGAAAAAAATAGGAATAAAAAAAAAATAAGTAAAACTAGTTCAAATAATAGAGAAAGAGGGAAATTATTGATATGTATAGGAGTGAATTACATATACACTGAGTGGCCAGATTATTATGTTCTCTGAAGGCATAATGAATTGGCCACTCAGTGTATATCCTATATAATAAAAGGCTAATATGCAAATTATCCCCTGGACCAGGAGTCCAACCAGCAGGCAGGCTGGCCAACCGCCATGACCTCTTCTTCTTGGCCAGGCTGGCCAGACCCCACCCATGCACAAATTCATGCACCGGGCCTCTAATACACACACACACACACACACACACACACACACACACTGAGTAGCCAGATTATTATACATTCAGAGATTATAATAATCTGGCCATTCTGTGTATATAGCTATAGATAAATATGAATTTTAACATATCCTATCTAATAAAAGAGTAATATGCAAATTGACCATCACAACAGGACACAAGATGGCCGCCCCCATGTGGACACAAGATAACCACCACAAGATGGCCTGCAGGGGAAGGCAGTTGTGGGAAGTTAGGGGTGATCAGGCCAGCAAGGAGGGCAGTTGGGGGTGACCAGGCCAATAGAGGTGGGCAGTTAGGGGAGACCAGGCCTGCAAGGGAGGGCAGTTGGGAGTCAGAAGTCCTGGATTGTGAAAGGGCTGTCTTAGTGGGGATTGGGCCTAAATGGGTGGTCAGACATCCCTTAAGTGTCCTAGATTGGAGAGGGTGCAATCTGGGCTGAGGGACAACCCCCTCCAACATCCCCATGCACAAATTTCATGCACTGGGCCTCTAGTATAAATATGAATGAATTTTTACTCAACATTGAAAAAGTGACTTCATTCAAAAGATGTAGACTGTTTTGACTAATAGGACATGGCAGTAGCAATACTCTGCTACTTCCAGAACATAGCCCTTAAACTGCCTGGCTGCTTTCTGGGTCTTGAGATACCTGTTCTTGGAATATTCTCTCTGCAAACATGACCTTTGTTTTGTATTTTTACATGCAGTTTTGATGCAACTATCACAGTTCTGGAATTTGTCCTACCATTAGACTCAAATGTGCATGCACATAAGGACTTCTACTGCAAGAATGTTTATAGTAACAAACAACTAGAGGCAGCTTAAGTGCCCCCAAATAAGTTCACTCTAAACAATTGTTGTAAAGCTTACATTAAAATCTACTTAGACATTATTTTGAAAAATTAAGAGATATTTAAATGTTGGTATGGAATGGTCTCAAAGATATACGGTTGTTAAATGCAAAGGGAAATATATAAAAGGTTCTGTCCAGATTCCTCTTTGAATTAAGAGTGCATCTATTTCTATTGATGGGGGAAGTGTGCACAGAATGCTTCTGGGAGAATATATAAAGAACCGTTAATGGTTATACCTTAACAGAAGGGGAACTAACATGTTTTAAATTAATTGGCATCTTTTACTTTTCTTTTGTTACCATGTGCATATGTTATTTTCATAACACTACTTAGTGAAAAATTCTGGCAGTACTACTGGTATAGGAAATTAACACAATAAAAATGGGAGATTTTGTTGTTAATTTGCTGCTCATTCCCCATAACAACCAGTCCAAACTTTTGTGCACTTTTTATTTTTTAATTTAAAAAAATAATAAAATTATATATGTATATATATATTTTAAGGTATACAACATGATGATTTGATACGCACAAACTCAGTAAAATAATTACTATAGCTAGCCAATTAACATATCATCTCTTCACAAAGTTATCCTCTTGTTTATGTGATAAGTGAACCTGAATATCCCTTAGCAAATTTCCAATGTTTAATACAGCATTATTGACTATACCTTAGATCTCTAGACTTGCTCATTCTACATAACTCAACTTTCTACTCTTTGACCAACATCTCTTTCCAAATTGGGAGACTTTAAGACTCCTCTCCTCTTTTACAGGTCAAATAGGAGATAATAAAAGTTGATAGAAAATACATTAATACAGTTGATAACATACTTAATAGAAAAATATTTAAATACATATTCTTTGCCAGTGTTCTTGAAATATTTATTAAAATATAGAACAATTTTTAAATGCAAGGATTATTTCTTTGGTTTCTTACACACACACACACACACACACATATGCACACACTCTCAAATGTATAAGTCATTTTGCCACAAATACAAATGCAGCAACATTTAAAATCAAGAATAAAAATACAAGCAACACTTTCCTCCTCCAAACAAACAAAACAAAATACCAAATCCAGGACTTGGGGACTGAGTCCTTGTAGTGCAGAAAATGCTAAGTTAAAACTATAAATGAGGATCATTTGAATAATAATAAACACTTTATTTAAAATTGGTGGATTGGAACAGAAGCAGTAATCTGAGGCAAATTCATGGTATTAATTGCTTTCATTATCAAATCGTTATAAAACAAGGGAAAAAATAAACTAAGTATCTAACTCAAGAAATAATCATAAAACAACAATTAGAAGAGAGAGATTAATAAATAAATGAAACAAAAATGTGGGAAGTAGAAAATAAGTGATTCTATTTTTTCTTTCTCTTTCTCTAGCTAACTCTCTCCTTTTCTTTCCTTTCTGTGCTATTTCAAAGGGACTGGCATACTAATTGAGAAGAACATAAAAAATGCCCCCCCTCCTTTCTTAAGCAGACAAATTAAAACTCCACAGTTTCTGTTCTACTCTTCCTCCTTTATTTTCTCTACCTCTGCCCTCAATCTGTTGCTATGCTTAGTTAATGACACTTCTACAGGGCTCCTCTGGGAATAGTTATTTGTTTTCTGATGCTAAAGGAGGATAGGAATCTTGTCTTATTTACTGAGCATTCCCAGGCCAAACACAGTGCCAGACCCACTGGAGAACTCCATATATACTTGTTGCTCCCCACACTCTCAGCTTCTCTTGTCTTAGCCAGAAGAGTTCCCATAATAATTAATCAATGATGTTTTAACATTGCAACAGTGCATTGTGGGCAGAGTATAATCATTATCTTAAAATACTATACATGGTATTTGCAATCATTTCACTGGCATGGATTTCAATATTTATAAACTAGGAGTGTATAAAGTTTGTATATTCCTTTCAAATCTAAGGATTGGTGCTTTATCGTGGGGTAGTGCATTTAGTCCTAAGTAATGTATACTTCATTTACTTCAGTTCTGCACACTTTCTAGCAACATCTCTCAAACAGTTGGTTTCCCTTAATATGCATGGAGTGTGTTGCTTAACTGTATATTCCAATCAGTTACAATTATTATGAGGGAGTATGCCATTGTTAACAATTTACATCTATACACCGATTAGTAACGTCCCAAGCAGTCTCCATGGCATTACTGCACGTAATCGCCACACTATTTTTTTTTTCCTTTTTAGAAATAAGACACCCACAAATTGTTTCCTAAGTTTAGACAGCTGGCAAAGGGAAGCCAGGATGTTTTGGATTCAAATCCAGTTCTTCCATACTGAATTCATTCGTTCAGCAAATATTTAATGAGCTTTTTATACATGCAAG